TCCGCTTATATTTTGATGACTTTTGATGATGTTTGATGGTTTTGACGAACTTTTAAAAAACTCATGATTTCAGTAACCAGACGTTTTTATTAAAACTAAAATAACGGTTTTTCTAAGTTAAGTCACGATTTTTAAAAGGTAGCACCCCTAACCAGTTTTCGCAAAGAAAATGTTTTATTTTAGATAACTTTGCGAAATTTGCGCTACTCTGATTTAACGATAAGGAGGGGTGTTACACGGTTGACTTTAAAAAATAATGTTTTGACTTACTACTTTAAGTAATAGTTTCTACTCTAAGCAATAAACATTCCGGTCCCACACATAAAATTAATTATCACAAAAGTTAGGAATAAAATAAATCCACGCCTTAAAATTTGGTTCGGATTTTGTTAACAAATGAGGATTAATTGCAAAATCAGTTTAGATTTTATATCCCAATAAAATCGGAATCTATAGTTCACAATCAATTATCCCATGCCCAAATTAAAAATGAGTATTCAATGTATATCTCCACAAAAGTGGTTTTGATTTACTTAACAAATTTCAACGGATACTATGCAAACTAATTTGTGATTTCTTAAAAAAAAAAAGCGGATTATGTGAGAATTTATAAAGTGAAACAAAATATGTATACGCATAAAAAATTGAATTTACGTAATCTTCAAGATAATGATTCAACTTGGCCGTGTAAATAGGAATACTTGCCGCTGTGAAAATCCGTAAACTTCTGATTTTAATATTACTAAATATTGCTTAATATCATATTATAACGAATCATATCGAATGGTATCCATATAATTATAAAGATAAGTACAAAATTTAAATATTTTTTAAATGTCCGTGTATGACTATATAAACATCGCAAACTCACAGAAAGAGATACATTCGATATCATTCGCTTCTCGCAATTTAAGTTTTTCCACCATCACGGCACTTTAAGTTTTTCCACTGTCACGAATCTTTTCCGACACAATTGAAAATGCCTTTGAATTTTGGAGTCATCAAAGATATCCACAGATCCAATAAGCCACCAATCAAGCTACGTATAATTCGGATGTTCCAACGAGTTGAAGACGTACGCAATTACCGAAATGTTCTAGAGATTATTTTTCACGATTCGGAGGTAATATGTTCACACATTCATATTGTATTTAAATTTAAATTTAAATTTATTTTATTGTGCTTATTAAATTATTCAATAATTCAATATGTATTGTCTTAGGGATTACGAATTACTGGCATAATTCGACCTGTGAATCCAAAAGTTCGTCGGTGATATTGAAGAATGTGGTAAGTATGTCTTGACAAACTGTCAAGTTGAAAGAAATATTGACCTCTATAAATCGACTATAGGAAAGTGGAGGATCATCATCCATGGCATTACCAAGATTATCAAACGGAAGGGAGATTTTCCTATGCATCGTTTTGAGTTTAGAAACTTCCTAACTTTGATGGATGTTCGTAAAATTGAAGAAGCCATGTTGTTTGGTATGTTAACATTTTTTTCTTTATGTTCTATTTTGTAATTTTATTATGAATTATATTTACATTCGTTAATATACAACACTATTTTATATGTTGCGTTTTAAATAATAATTTATTTTTTTACTTATGTAGATATTATTGGATTGGTTGTCTCAATACAACCTATTCAAATTAAGGTTGTCAAGGGAGTTCCTACACAAATGATAGTATCCTCTATTATGGACTTGGAGTAAGCATCTATAGCCTATATATTTATCATTTTTATTCAATCGTTTAATATGTTCTCTTCAATTAAAAAACAAAAATTGTTGGGTTAAATATTAATGTTCCAATTGTGGGCTTATAAAGTTTTTCGATTTGTGTAGGAATTAAAAAATAAATAAAAAAATAAAGAGATCATTGTTGCATATAAAATTCCGATTTCTTTTTTATTAAAAAAAAAAAGAGATAATTTATACATATAACTTTCCGATTTCTATTTTTAGTAAAAAAAAAATTAAGATATTATTGTTTTTATATATTTATAATTTTTATTCCATCCGTTAATTATGTTTTCTTTAACTAAAAAAAATAAAAATTGTTGGGCTAAATATTAATGTGCCGATTGTCGGCTTATAAATATTTCAGATTTGTGTAGGGCTTAAAACAAAATTAAGAGATCATTGTTACATAAAAATTTCCGATTTCCCTTTTTTAAAAAAAAAAATTAAGAGATTAATATTTTATATAAATTCCCAATTTTCGATATCGATTTAATAACTAAATATTGTGCCGACATTGTCTAGGGGGAATGTATAGGAATGCACTGTTTAGGGGCGATATGTTGATCAGTTGGTTGCTCAGGAGCATCATTATTATGAGGATGATGGGTCACCTTTTGTCATTATCATGCAAATGTGTCGTGCAAGAGAGTGGAGAGGTTATCTTCGATTGTAGTTCATGATTTTTTTCAATATTTTTGTTTGTCCATTAGCTTTATATTAAATATTAATATTAGATATTTGAATATTAATATTTATTTTGAATATTAATATTACTAATTGTCTATGTCTATTGGATTGAATATTAAAATATTTTATGTAATAGGTGATGTTCAAATAAGCACGTCAAAGGATGTGACCTTGATCATTGGTGTAGACGTCCCTGAAATTTAAGAATTTCGGAGAAGGTATATGTTATTTGTTAGTATTTAAATACAATTTTATTGATAATTGTATTGTATATCAAAAACTATTTATTTTAATGTTATTTTTTAATTGTCTATCAAGGCTGGCGACAAGTAAAGTTAAGGATACCAAGTTGGTTTCAAGTAGCTCAATCATTGTGAAGACCGAACTTCAAAGTCTTAATGATGGTGACGTCATTGTTAGTTCTGTTGATTCTCTATTTGAGTATGTCGAGGTAATAAATATAATCTTATTATCAATAAGTTGACCTCTATATTATAATTATTATTGAAATTGAAATAACTGCATTTAATTAATTTAAAATAATATATAAATTTGAGTATACAATTATTTTTATTAGGAGATATGATTTTTCTGTTAGTAAGTATTTTGAATTGTACATGACATTTGTTTTTTAAAAGGGACAGATATAACTAACCCCCGTGCATCGCACGGGCTCTGTACATATTGGCTATTGTGTATTATTACAATTCATCGCTATTGGACATAGAAATGATTTTTTTACGTCTTTTTGTTATAAACTTAACAATATTGTTGTTGTATATTTTGCATCAGTTATTCACTCACAATATTTTGAACATCAAATGTGCTCTCATTCTGACAAAATTCATTCCATATATCTAATATGAAACTTTTAATTTAAATATTTTCATCTTTTAAGTAAAAATTCAAATGTGATGTTTTTAGATAATAATAAAGACGCTATATATTTTAATTTAAATATTTTCATTTTTTAAGTAAAAATTCAAATGTGATGTTTTTAGATAATAATAAAGACGCTATATATTGACATCATTGGACAAATCATATATTAAAGTTCTCAAATAATTTAGAATATAAGACAATTTTGTATAATCTATATATATATATATATATATATATATATATATATATAAATTTACCATTTTTTAAAAATGACAGGTCAATTTCTTTGTCAAATTCAGACATCATTAATTAGTTTCTTTTAATGGCAATCTTTTTTTTTTTTGTTACTTAATAATTAACACGAAATTAACGGGAAAAGTGCCCTTTTTTTGGGGAAAAAATGATTTATTTTAATTATTTAATACTTCATAGAAAAAGCGGCATAATATAATATTATAACATAGATCACAATATGTGTAAGTAAATAACAATTTCCAATCATTTTATAAAAATCTTTTATTTTTACTAACGGATCATGCCCGCTGGCTAATAACAAATTACAATACTATTGAGATGATATTTGTTGAACTAACAAATAAACATTTGGTGGTAGAATTTCTGGATTGCCATAATGGAGAGCTGACATGCCCGGTATTGATCTCCGTGATACTGTGATAGCATGGTGGAATTTTCTTCATTTGGAGTGATGTTCATATTATGTACTATGGATATGATAAAATAATAAAATTTCAATAAACATAAATTTTTAGATAGGATTTAAAGAAACAAATATCTAATATCCCTTATATGAAGGGATTTATTATTCAAAATACACATTATACAGAGTTAATTGTCAAATAAAAAAGGCATTAATTGTCAACGATGAGTTAATCGCCCGCAGATTAAGGCTATGTTTGGTAAAATTAGCTGATAAACTAGCTGATAGCTGATAAGCTAGCTTATAGCCTATATGTAATTTTTGAGCTTATAACTTATAGCTGAAAAGCTAGCTTATATGATAATAGATATTTGGTAAATTAGCTGATAAGCTAGCTGAAATAAAAGAAAAAAAAATCAACTAGCTTATTTAAAAAGCTACCTAAAGTAGCTTATGAAATAAGCTCGAGCTTTTTAAAAAAGCTCGTCCTACCAAACGAGTTTTATTTTAAACAGGCAGCTTATAAGCTAACCAAATAAGCTATAAGCTAGCTTATTTAGCTTACCAAACATAGCCTAATGTAAGGAAATAATTAGGCTTTGACTGAACTTCGCTTGACGCTGAAGGATCCGGGGGGTCCACGAGAGATTTTGCGAAATTTAAAATTTATCATTTATCAACTAAAACTGCACAAAAATGAATTTTATTAGACAAAAGTTGCCGAAATAAGAACACACAAAATAAATATGACAAGCGCAATTTGCATGAATATTATTGTAAAAGATTTTGCCACATTGAATATTTTTTTTCAATCATATCAATAACTGCACGAATATTACTGCTAAAAATACATATTTAATATTTTTTTC